AAGAAACTAACACATACCAGTTAATAATGATAGGCAGCAGTGTAAACAAAGCAACTTTTGCAGGTGTCTTTGGATTTTGTTTTTAACTAGATATCTTATTTGGCTTAGTTACAGTGAGTCCAGCCCAGTTACAAGGTTGTTATTGAGATCTGGTTTCACTAGAGAGAAAATTTGTGATATTCGAGTTGAGTTTGGCAGCTTTGTCTTTATGTACAAGGGGAATGTGAAAATGTGAACAAGACTCCGGGAGGTACTTCCTGGGGGGCTACAGCTCCTACCTGTGAAGGCAGTCAGTGGAGCTTGCAGACATAGAAGGAACTGGCAGAGTACTTGTATACCACAGAAGCAGTTGTGGTACAGAGTCTTTAACTTGTAGGTTGGGATCACATAGAAGACAAGGATATCATGCAGCTGTTTGTATAGCTGGGCCATCTTACAAGCAGTCAGTGAGAATATCCAAAATGTTTAAGAATAGTCAGGGTCGTGGCCTGAGTTAACATTTGTCCTACTTCACATATTGAAGTTGTTACTAGGTGCCATTAAGTCATCTACAACCCATGGTGAGCCTATGAACAAATAGATCTGAACTTTACCCTAGTCTGCTCCATCCTCACTATATGTGATATGCTCAAGGCCATTGTTACTGTCATTATGTCAGCCCACATGTTAAGGGTATTTCTCTGACCCCTTTCCCACCATGATTTTTTTTTCCAAGGATTGGCCCTCCCTGACAATACACCCAAAATATGAAAGAGTTTCACCATCTTTGCCTCTAAGGAGCACTCTGGTCGTGCTTCCTCCAAGGTGGACTTACTCTTTTGTCAGTCCATGGGATATTCAGTACACTTCAACACCACAGTTCAAAGGCATTGATTCATCTTGTCTTCCTTATTCATTGTCCACCTTTCATGTGCATAGGAAGTAATTGAAAATACTACAGCTTGGATCAGGAAGTTCTGGTGGCCTAGTAGTAAGAAACTGCTCCTCCTGTGTAATTCCTACCTCTGAAAACCTGATGGAGGATGAGCTGTGGGTGTATGGTACACAACAACAAAGAGCTTAGATAAAATACATCCTTGTCCAATAAATAAAGAAAAAAATCATAGATAGTAGTTCCCCATCCCTTATCTTCTGGAAATGTGTTCAATGATGCCCCCCACCCCAGTGAATGCCTAAAACCACCTAAACCCTTACATACTATGTGTTTATCCTGCACAACAAACCTATGGCAAAATTTAATTTCTAGCAGTAACAAGGGGTAGACACTATATACAGCATGCGTATAGTTGAGAAAAGTTTATTTCCTAGGTGGGACAGTGAGATGGCTCAAAATTTCATCTAACTCAAACAACAAAAAGTGAAACTAAGAATAAAGGTTTTGATCTGTTTTGCCATGGGATCGGCTTGAGTCAGTCGACAGGATGGGAAACGTGCAGAAAATTTCTAGGTTACAGGCAAATGGTTAAACTTAAGATAGCTGTTCACAAGCTTTTAATACTTTATTTGTTACTCACCAAAAGTAGGATACAGGGACGATCACCAACGATATATGCAGTTGATGCCAGTTCCCAGTGTCTGTGATCCTAAGACCACAGGCCCAGCACCTCATTCCCTCAAAGTATATGCTGATGACCAGGAAGTTTTCATGTCTTTTTAGTGGTGAAAGATGGCTAAGCGTTAGGTTACTGATGAGCTGTATTAACATGAAAGAGGATTATGATTATTAATTCCATTCTTAGGTTGCATAAGAAAACATTTTTTTTTCCTTAACACGATTGTGCCTCTAATTTTCCTATTTTGAAACCTACAAATGTTACTGCCGTTTACCCTCCATATGTCCCCCCACCCACTAGGTTGATGGTATCTGGGAAGATGTGTAGAACTTTGTGAAAAAAAGATGAACAGAGGAAGAAACCTAACAACTGTGAGAGGAGAGCTGCTTCCAGATGGGCTGCCTCTGTCAGGGAGATGGTAGTGCCTTTTACTTTAAAAGTCTTTGCTGGTCTCTTGGCACACACCACCACCAACAACAACAACCCCAACATCAAAATAACTGCATATTGGGTTCAAAGTCATTACCTTGATCCTGGACTAATCTTTAAAGTGTTAGCGCGTAAACTAAAAGTTTCTTGGACATACATTCTTGGCACCAGCAGCCAGGAAAGACGTATTGCAGTAGTAAAATTTGAGGTTAGGGACCTCTCCAAAGTACTGAAGAGCAATGATGTCAGTTTGGAGACTAAGTGCACCTGATACAGGCCATGGTCTTTGCGATCAGTTACTATACATCAGAGAGCTGGACAATGACTAGGGATGATAGGACCATTGATGCCTTTGAGCTGTGTTGTTGGAGAAGAGTATTGAATATAACATGGACTGCTAAGAAAATAAACAGGTTCGTCCTAGAGAGGATGAAACCAGCCTACTCCTTGGAGACAAGGATTCTGAAGCTTCGTCTGACATCTTTTGGACATGTTTTAAGGAGGGACCAGTCCTTGGAGAGGGACATCATGCTTGGGAGGGTGGAGGGACAGTGCAAGAGAGGAAGACCCCCTGTGAGATGGATTGATTCAGTGACTGGGATACTCAAAGTGGGTGTGTCAGAGACAGTGAGATTGGCAGAGGACAGAACAGACAGAGTTTAGGGCTGTTGTACATGGAGTCACCATGATTCGCAGGCAACTTGACGGCACAAAACAACAACAAGGTGCTGTACAGACTTCATACTTTGCATTAAATAAGTTTGCCCTTAGTTTGAAACCAACTCCTACTCACAGCAAATTCTTCTCTTGCTGCTTGGTTTCTAAATCATTGAAAAGTCTTCAAGCTCTTTCTTAAAATAGGCTAAATAAGAACTGTGTATATTTGTTCCCAACTCTACCTATAAATTCCACTTAAAGACACAGGAACACCAGGTCCCATCCCCCAGGCACTTGCTCAGCCTTGGAACCCGCTGCATTTGCCCTGGACAGAGCCTTGTCCTCCTCTGTTTTAACAATGTACGTTTCCAGACGAAAAACATTATCCGTGGCGCCGCTCGTGAGAAAAAAGAAAAGAAAGACACAGGAACAAATCTCATACCTCGCCTGAGAATTTCCTATACATAGTGTAGCTTGAGTTTTTGGTGGTTTGTTTGGTTTTGTGGTGTTTGTTTTGTTGGTTTTTTTTTTTAATATTTGTTAATCTTATCAAAAAAGGAATTTTGTAAAGGTTATACCGTCTGTAAGACCTTAAGCTTAGAATTGAGAAATGAAGAGGTTTTCCCCCTTCTGTGCTCTTAGGATCTATTCTTAGACTTAATAAAGCAGACTTTGACCCCTCATCTTCCCTAATTTCGCAGAATAGCCTAAAGGATGGGGGAGATCCTGCCCAATTGGATGTTGAGCTGGAGTGTGGATTTTAAATGTAAGCCTACCCATGTATTTCCCTCAGGCCTGCTGCCCAAATAATGACTCTTCCTGTGTGCTACTATCCTCTGCTTTCATTTTTTATTTAAATCTGCTAGACAGTTACGAGCGTACATTGGTGCTCCTTGATGGATGCATCATTGTGTATGCGTTCTCCTAAGGCAGCTCATTATTTGTTCATCCACGTTGCCACTTCCTACCTGCACATGAAGCCTGAATTTGAGCCCACAGGTAGTGCTTCCATGGTTGAAGTGTATACTGACATAGCATGAGGATTTACACCTGTAAGAAGTCGTGTTTACATGGCTAGCTTGAAATTAGCCATACCTGTGCTCCTGAATCGTGGATAGATTTCAATTTGTTATAGTTTACATTTCCAGAGATCCTTGCTAAAATTTAGTAAATTTTCTATGTATGCCTTTACAGGTTGAATTATATCATGATGATATGGGGAGATTCTGTATTCCATTTCTTACACAGTCCTATTTGTTTCAGTAAGCTGAAGTTTATATGACATTTTAATGAAAGACTAATCAGAGTTTTAATAGTTTAGAAGAAAAGTTTAAACCACCATTTACTAGAAGAAAATGTTTCTGTATACTGTGAAAGCACCCATTTATTTATAAATACTCTTATTCACAAGCTACGTATTATTTGTTAAAGCTAGTCTTTCAGGCAAATTCTCTAGTTCTGGTTTATTTCCATGAAGGAAAATTACTCTTAACTGTTTGGCATGCACAGTGATGGAGGTGGGTGCTGATGAGTGCTGTCGAGTTGAGTGTGACCCATAGCAACCCTATGAACAGCAGATTTGAACCCTGTCCTATTCTGTGCCATCCTTACACTTCGTGACACACTAGAGCCCATTGCGGCAATCACTGTGTCAATCCACCTGGTCAAGGGTCTTCCTCTCCTTTGCCAACCTTCCACCTTGCCGGGCATCATGTCACTTTGCAAGCGCTGTGGTATGAGTACCTTTTTCAGTTCCTGTCTACCAGTACGCTCTGTATTTTAGGTCTCTAATGAATGCAGAAGGTCTTAGGGACGCTATACTGGCCTTATGATGTTTAAGCATGTTGGGTTCTGATTACTGGCTCCCTCAGTGTTCTTGAGCATTTCTAGGCATCTCTTTATGGTTCTTTCACAAGATCAACACCAGCTTCAGAGTAAGGATATGCTATAGAAGAATATTCTGAACCGGACAGAAGCACTGCAAGATTGTCTTTATGTAACAGAATTAGAAATAAGGATTTAATGTATCAAAAATACAAAGAATGTGAGAAAGAAAGATTGTGCTGTTATTGAACAAATCTGGAAAAAAGTTGAATCTTAGCCACTGGTACATGCCCCACTCCACATACCACCACCACCACCACCCCACCACCCCCCAAAAAAAAAGTCCTACTGAAACAAGTGGGCAGTGACAGTAATTGGCATTTTGGGGAGGAGGCAGGAATATAGCATCTGTTAGGAGAGTGGCTGACTTCATAGGAGCCACATGGTAACGTTGGGTTTTGGGGATGCCTTTGGCCTTAAAAGGGGACCATTGTCTTTCTTGTTGTAAATTTTCAACTTTTTACCTTCTGTTTTTAGCAAATCCAGTTTGCTGATGATATGCAAGAGTTCACCAAATTCCCCACTAAGACCGGACGAAGATCTCTGTCTCGCTCCATCTCACAATCCTCCACTGACAGCTACAGCTCAGGTAGATGTGAGCTCCATGCTCTCTCTGTCTTTCTTCCCTGTTCAGAGCCTTGAGCAAGTTCTCACACTTACTCATTGCTGTCTCATTGCTTCTGACTCAGCAGTTTTCCTTCAGCTTCCTGAGGCTCTAAATCGTAACAGGAATAGACTGCCCATCTTTGCTGGTGGATTTGAACTGTGCCTTTAAGTTAGCAGATCGCACTATCGGAACCCCCTGCTGGTTCACTAATCACTCTTTTTCACTTAACTGAAATCTGAAAATACTTCATGTCAGGACTGTCCATTTCTGTGCTGAAAGCTGATTATAATCATTGAGCAGTGGGAAGTTCCCAGCCAGGCTTGTAGCTGAGAAACCTTTTTGTCATTTTAAAACTTTCTTCCCTTGACAGTGTGTGAGGTCTATATAGCCAGTGCCTGGTTGATAGTACTGGACCAGTTCCCATTCCCACAGTTATCTGCCCCTATTACAAAGAAAGGGAATCAATGATATTTTGGCTGACAGTGCTGGCCTTGAAAAAGATGTCTACTTTAGAAGGTTATTTATAAAATATTCCTTGCCCCTTATCTTTTTATTTCTTATCCTAAACAATGCTTGGATTGTAAGAATAATAATATTTTAAAATTTTAATTATTATTCTTTTCTTTCTTACTGCTATAGTGTCAGAACTGATTCATAGCTGACCCTCTAGCATGTGTTCAGAGGCTATAGATCACACCAGAGGAGATTGCCCATCTTTATCCCAAGAAACACCTGGTAGGCTGAAATCATGGTCCTTTGAGTTAGCAGCGTACTCCCTATTGACATGGCCACCAGAATTCTGTTTTGAATTTTTTACTTAGTAGGTTAGTCTTTATGTAGATGACTCCTCCCCTCTAACCTCCAATGGGAAGGATTAAAATTAGAATAGTATGACTCTAGCTCATTTCTTTTCTTCCCTCAATGTAAGTAAAATCTTTCTGATTAAAATTATGCCACCATGAACTTTAAAGGGGATGTTACAGATATTAACGTGGAAAGAGATATAGTCTTAAAATTTTAATATTAGAGAAAATAGTAGGAGCATCATAATTAACCCACTCATTGTTCAGCCAAGGAAATGGAGTTCCAAAAAAAGATTTAAGAGGTCTGCCCAAGGTCACAAAGTGTTAATTCATGCCAGCAAAGAGATTTATACCAGAAGCTAACCATTGTCTTTTGTCAGAATATTTTTTGCCTTTTATTATTAACACAGACTGGCTTGATATACTAGGAGTGTAGGGTTTAAAAATCAGCCAAAAGACCATGTCTCTGTCTTGTGTCATTGACATCCCAGTATAGACAAGAATAAATGACAAATGAGGTATATAGTAGTAAGTAGTAAGGTTGTAGGTGATAAGCAGATTGATTATACCTAAGAAAGAAGCCAGATCAGTTGTGAAAGATGAAGATCTTCTGCAAGGGATCAGTCTAGAGGGCCCTGTATAAAGGAGATATGGGACAAAACTTTAAAAAAAAAAACAAAAAACACACACACACATAAAAATGGTCACGCTTACTGGCCCAACAGACTGGTGGAAGCACAGAACTGTATGACCTTTAGTCAACCTCCAGACCTGAAGAAAAACTTGCCTACATGGTTCAGCTTTCAGCCAAACAATAGGAAAGTACTCTTTAGAATAACCAACCATATAAGGTCAAAGGGCAGCATTTCCCCAGAGATACAGCTCAGCAGTCAAGAGAAGAGTGATTAATAAAGATGACAAGGAGGAAGTAGAATCTGGTTACATTGTGGGTATTGTAATTGCTCTCAGAAAAGTGTGTGTAAATGTTTGACTGGAAAACTAGTTTGTTTCATAAACTTTCACTCAAATCACAAAAAGGGAAAAAAGTTTGAGTTGTAAGAGGAAGAATGAAGAAGGCTTTAAGATGTCTTCACGGATCTTGGTGGTCATTAGTATGGAGAAGTTGTAGAGCATTTCCGAAAGCTTAATGATATGATTTAATAGTCAAAGTAAAGAGGAGAATAGTGTTTGTGTTAACTGGACAAAAGAAATAAGTCAGAGAGATGGCATTGACTGGCAGAAACGGTAATGAGGGAAACTTCCATTCTGAAAGGAATAGAATAATTATTGTACATGTTGCATATCTCTCAGAAAGTACACTTGAGCTTTATGAAAAGCTGTTTTTCAATGTTTATCATTTTGACGTACTTTTCCAAGACTAGTAGTAGTAGAACTCATTTATTTCCATCTCCATTTTCCTTGTGTACAATTTAGTATAAAATTTCTTGTAATGTTATCTTACCTCTTTCATACACAGTTTGGCTCTCTCATCTATGGGTCTCAGACCACCTGCATCAGCAGAGCTGGAGAGCTTATTAGGAGTGCTAATTCATGGGTCCCACCCAAGACCTACTGACTAGGAAACTGGCTGTGGAGCCTCATAATCTACATTTTCACAATCCTCCCATGTGATGTTATGATAGATCTTCTAGATGCCAGTGATGACTGAATAGGATTTTCTAATTGCCCTCAATGATTCTTCCTTTATTTTCACAACACTGAAATATTGACAATAGTTTTATTCATACCATCCATTTGACCCCTCGAGAAGTAGCAGTGAGTAACGTAAAAGGTAGTTCCAATTAAGAGAGTTCAAGTCTCTTGGGGACTCTACTCTGAGGAATTGAACCATTGAGTTTCTCTGTCCTTACATCTTGCTTTCCTGGCTTTAGCTGCATCCTATACAGATAGCTCTGATGATGAAGTTTCCCCACGAGAGAAGCAGCAAACCAACTCCAAGGGCAGTAGCAATTTTTGTGTGAAGAACATCAAGCAGGCGGAATTTGGACGCCGGGAGATTGAAATTGCAGAGCAAGGTAAAAAAGGGAATAAATAAGGGGGGCAAATGGGCAAAGAAACCAACAGTAGCTCTCTTTCTGGTCATCAGGATCCACAAATACTTTAAGGCCTGAAATGTCCTCAAAATGTCCTAGGGGGTATTCAGCATCCTAGACTTTTTTATGAACACTCTTCTCTATATTGGAACCTCAAGATTCCTGTTCTTCATCCTTCCTGTTCCTAACTGTGATAATTACACGCAGAGTAATTTGTTTTCCCGTGACGTAATATTTGAAGATCTCCATTGCAGAACCAGCAAATCCTGGATCACTACATGGGGATTAGTTCTGCAGAATCCTTGCAGTCACCAAACCAGGAAAGCCAAACCCATTGTCCTCAAGTTGTTGTAACTCATCATGACCTTGTTGGTTAGCATAGAACTGCCCTATTGGATTTTTCAGACCTCTGATCTTTATTGTAGCGGTCTGCTGCCAAACCTTTCTGCCGTGACGAACTGGTTGCTTTGAATTGCTTACCTTTACATTTATAGCCAAGTGTTTTAACCACTATGACACCAGGACTCCTCATGTCAATAACAAAGACTAGGATTTCCCAGAAACAGGGCGTTTGAAGGTTGTAAGCAAAGGGTATGATAATCTGGGATCTTTGGTCCTGAGCACCTTATCAAAACAAGAGAGTAAAAGTGATAAATCTTGATTTCTCCATCCCACCTCTGGTACCTACGCATTGATTTCCTGTTGCTTTCACCTGGAAGGCATGTTCTTCACTGGGAGGAAGTGGTCTTGGTGGTGTTGTTAATGTACCATTGAATCGGAACCAACTCATAGCTGACCCTCTAGCGGGTTTTCAGAGGCAGTAACTTTCATAGGGGATTGCCCATCTTTCTCCCGAGGAGTAGCTGACCATGCCTTCCGGTTGACAGCATAGCCCCCCTACCTGTAGGCCACTGGAACTCCCTTAGAAAGACAGGGTGAGGTAAGATAACCTGGAACAGAAGCAAATGGCTTCTGCTAGGGATGAAGATTTTCTTCTGATAATTGTATATGAATCTGTTTGCCAATGCTGTAACTACTTCCTTCTCCCTCCTGAAGATTTATCTTACATTTTCATCTGTTTTCAGCCTCCATTTTAATCAGTTTTAAGGACTTGAGTCTCTCTTCCGTCTCCTTGGAAGCAGTAGAGGAAGAGGAAAGTTCCAAGTGATTGGATAATGACTCTCCCTTGTTGTTCTGCTGTTGATGCAGTAACTCACCATGGAAATATGCTTACAGTGTCCCTCCTCATCTCACCAGATCTTAACAGATCCAGGCTAGCCCTAGGTAGCACTTGGGCAGGAACTGATACTGTTGCTAGTGCAGACCTAGCTCAAATCCTCTGTTCTTTTACAGACATGTCTGCTCTGATTTCACTCAGGAAACGTGCTCAGGGGGAGAAGCCCTTAGCTGGTGCTAAAATAGTGGGGTGTACACACATCACAGCTCAGACTGCGGTGAGTTGGGCTGGGAGGGGGCAGAAAGAGGGACTTTGGAGAATGGGAAGAAAGAAACAGTTTTCTTCTTTTTACTTTCCCCCCAATTAGCCAACCTCCAGTTAACGTCTATTAGGTAGGACCTCCCTGTTACACAGTAATGGAGTTTCTATTTTTTTGTATAGTCACAACCCACTTTCTGTGTACCTGGCTTAAAAAGGTCTATATTTTAAAAAATATAATTGTTATAAAAATGTTACTAAGAAAAAAAATAAATTTAAAAAAAGTTACTAAAACTTTTAGGAACATATCTTTTAGGTAGTTGGATACCATTGTGCCACCTAGCTAAGTTACCAGAACCCATTCATGACTTCTCATGGGCAGCACTTGTTGCCCTAGAAGTGATGAGCAGTGTTCTCTTCCAGAGGCTTGCACTCCATCTCTGTCTTGGCCTCTTTCTCACCCTGTCTTCCTCCTCTGGACAGGTATTGATTGAGACACTCTGTGCCCTGGGTGCTCAGTGCCGCTGGTCCGCTTGCAACATCTACTCCACCCAGAATGAAGTGGCTGCAGCACTGGCTGAAGCTGGTAAGGTTCTGCTTTTCTCACCAGCTTTGCCTTAGATTAATTGTCTAACATAACTGTTGTGTTTGGTTATGTTTAGACAATTATTTTGTCTAATCGGGATGGGAGTGTCAGAGACAGTGCAATTGGCACAGGACAGAGCAGAGTTTAGGGCTGTTGTACATAGGGTCGCTGAGTCGCAAGTGACTCGACAGCACATAACAACAATGGTGATAAGAGTATCATTTATGTCTCAACAAAAAATTTAACTCATAGCTGTCAAGTCAGAATCAATCCATAACTTAGCCTCCAGTGGGTTTTTAAAGGCTATAAATCACACAAGAGATTGCCCATCATTCTCCCAGGACGCAGCTGATGAATTCAAGCTCCCTGTGTTTGGGCTGGCAACATAATTCCTTACCCACTATATTTCCCTTATCATTTATATCTAGGTGCTATAAAATTTGAGGTATTACAGCATCAATAAGAAGAGATTGAATAATAAAATCAACGTCTTTCTCTATGCTGGAAGGTTATACCGTCTTTAGAAATTGTCTTTGGAAAGAATCTAATGATGAGGGAAATGCCCAATTCTAATTTAAGTGAACATTTATGAATATTAAGCTATATAACTTAGAAATTTTAACTCAGCTACTCTCTTTTCATCTAAAAACTCAGTTCTGGGACAGAACACAAGAACTATCTCCTGTAAAGATAGTTTGTTAGCTAATTTGGCATCCAAATCTATTGAAAAAAATACATGGACTACTTGTTTGTTGTTGTTGTCATGTGCCATCGGGTCAAGTACAACACTTAGTGAACTTTTGAACAACAAATCTGAACCCCGTCCTATCCTGCACCATCCTCACAATTTCTGACATACTAGTACCTATTGCGGCAGTCACTGTGTCAGTCCACCTGATAGCGGGGCTGCCTCTCTTTCGCCAAACCTGGTTGAGGGCCTGTTCTCTTTCGCCGACCCTCTACCTTTCCAGTCATGCTGTCCCTCTCCAACTTGTTAGTTCAGTTAAACTGAAGCAATTGTTATTAACATGTTGAAAAGAAAAATCATAAATCTTACCTTCTTAGGATCCTCACAGAAAGTAATTTTGTAGTAATACACTCCTCAAAGGGGAAATCCGCTAAATTGCTTTTGTCTCTACAGGAGTTGCTGTGTTTGCTTGGAAGGGCGAGTCAGAAGATGACTTCTGGTGGTGTATCGACCGCTGTGTGAACATGGATGGGTGGCAGGCCAACATGGTAATAATGCATATCTGTCTTTCAATTTTGACAATAGATTTTCCTTTCTTCCTTCAGAGCATGGTTCCCTAAATATGTTTTGGATGTTTGGTCTTATGTACTGACATACTGATTTTGTTGCTAAAGTGTTTACCTTGGTGCCTATTCAGAATGGTTACTGTGTGTAAATGAAAGGTGGGAGAAAGGTAAGACTAACTGAACACGTGCAACTCAAAATAGGACAATGCGGTGGTACCTTTTTTTGAATACAATTCTGGTAGTTTTGGTTGATTTCCCCCCCCCCCTTCTTTCTGCCCCAGCTCTCCTTTTGCATACAAAGGGGCTGCTCATTTAAAGACTCTGAATTAAAAATGAGTCTCTCATAAATCTAATACTCTTCGTTTGTAGTCTAGAACAAACCTAGCAATCCTTTTATCCATTTGATAGCAATAAATTTTCCTGTATTTCCACTGTCTTAAGTCTGCTCTAAAGAGCTCTAAGTAGTGCTCTTCCAAAATATCCACTCTTACTAGTGCAGAAAGTGGATTCAAAGTTCCCCCCCAGCTCTAGCAGCCTGAATGCCCATAGAAGTCTTCTGGCTGTTCTGTAGATCCTGGATGATGGGGGAGACTTAACCCACTGGGTTTATAAGAAGTATCCAAACGTGTTTAAGAAGATCCGAGGCATTGTGGAAGAGAGCGTGACTGGTGTGCACAGGTAACAGATTCGGGAGTAGCTGTCCCTTGTGTCCTTGCCTCAGCAAATTCTTCTGGTCTCTGTATGGCTCTAGGGATATGTTCACACCTCAGTAACTAAATGGGAATGTCTTCCCTAGACAAGACATTTGAAGGTATTTTTGGTTTGGTTTTTGTTTTCTTTAAAGTGACCTTATAAGAAAGTTACAAAGTTACATCAGGTTCTAGGTCACTTTTTTTTTCTCTCTCCCATTTACTCCACTGTGATTCTCAACCAGTGTTGGGAGGTGTGTAGTGAGTGTACCTTGAAAACTATATTCAGTATTGTATTATCATTTTGTATTTGAAAAAGATCTTACCATAAAACTGTTATACACACAACAGAAAGTAAAACTGGGAACATCTTTCTTGGCCTGTGGGGAAATCTAAAAGATATCTCGAGTGTTTCTCAGTGGGAGCACATTGCACGTGCACCATCACATATGCAGAATCAAGGATAATCTTGGTGTATCAGAAAGTAGCCATGGATTCTTAAAAGTCAAGAAATATTGTTTTAAGAAAATATGTAAAAAATAAGTTTCTTCAACGGAAAGAATTTTTTTTTTCCCCTTTAAGAAAAACTAAGGAAGAGAGGTAGGCAGGGGAAAAGCAAGGCGAGATGACAAGGAAATCGTCTTGTTTACCAATATCCTTGAGCAGTTAATGTTGGGGAGGGCAACATGGAATTTGAAGAAAATTGGGCAGATTTTGCCATCTTTCATGCTTGACCAACTAATTTGGTTTGTTTGTTTTTGTGGCCTCTTTTCCTTTTAGGTTATATCAGCTCTCCAAAGCTGGAAAACTCTGTGTTCCAGCCATGAACGTCAATGATTCTGTTACCAAACAGAAGTTTGATAACTTGTATTGCTGCCGAGAATCCATCTTAGATGGGTAGGTTGAAATTATAGAGGTTCAAACTTGAGGGGGCTGGATTTCAGGTCAGTTGCCATATTAGTGTGCTACCACTCCAGCTTTGCTCTTGATTGTCTTTTGACTTTAAAGTTTGTTTAAGAGCCCTTCCCATACTGAACTCAGCTAGCTTCCAGTTGGAGTTCTCATGGGACATTGGTCCACATTAACTTTGTGCAGAGGGACTGTGTTCCATTTGAGCCCTTGTCTGTTTCCACAGCCTCAAGAGGACCACAGATGTGATGTTTGGTGGGAAACAAGTAGTCGTGTGTGGCTATGGTGAGGTAAATAGCTCGCAGTGTCTCTCTTTTCATTGACTTAAAAGTGTTGAGTGAAGACTTCTGCTGTCTGTCTAGAGTCCAGTGGGTGTCTCGAGTCACTCGTGCAGAATTTAAAATATGCTGTTAAGGAATGTATCTTCCAAGTTATAAATAAGATCTACAAAATGAATTTTCAAGTTTCAACACTTGTGTCATGTGGAATGGAATCATATCATTTTCCTTCAGTTAGCATTTTAGTCCCAAAAAGTGACTTGGGTTGGCATGAAAGGATGTGGTTGCTTATCTCTAAACTAGAATAACTTAGGGAAGATTTTATGATCATCAGCAATGGCCCATGGAAGTTTCGTGCCTGTTAGACTTTTCTTAAATAGATGCATCTCAAGTGAGAGTTAACAGGATTTTTAGAATAAGATCTAAGAGGTTAAAGGTGCTCTTCCTTGCTTTATTTCCCTAATGAAAACACATTTTTATTTCCTTGATCTTTGTCTCCTAAAGCCCCAGGCCTCACTGAAATGTCTGCTAAAGGACCTTTCTGACTGAGGTCTGCAGTCTAATCTGAGTCCCTCTACCTGGGGTGGGAGCATCCTGCATGTGTACACTAGGTGGTGATTGATTTCAGGCAGGTTACTGCCCATCTCCCAAAGAGCTGCCTCAGCCAACCCCCATGCCTTAATGAGGCTGACATCTTAACACCTTTCCTCTGCTCTGTAGGTGGGAAAGGGCTGCTGTGCTGCTCTCAAGGCCCTCGGAGCCATAGTCTACATCACAGAAATTGACCCCATCTGTGCTCTGCAGGCCTGGTAAGAACAAATAGGTAATGGTGTTAGAATCACTTCAGGTACTTTTTGTTTCTGAAGGCTCACAGTGGATCACATTCACCTTTTTGTTGTGAATGTGTCTGGTTAGGAGGCAGCTTGGATTGTTCCCTAGACTCTTCTCGAGCCTTTTGACATTTCTCCTGCAGGGTGGACTCTTGGGATTCTGAAGAGGCCTTTGTGTCCAGTTTAGCATAGTTTCTCTCTCATCATTCTTTTGAGGTAGTACAGGGTCTTTCAAAGAGGACTTAGTTGCCTCGTTAGTGGCCAGGTTCTATTCCATTGCCTTCATCCTTGGCTCACAAAGTTGTTTCCTTTATTCCAGCATGGATGGGTTCAGAGTAGTAAAGCTAAATGAAGTCATCCGGCAAGTTGATGTCGTGATAACTTGCACAGGTAAGCATCAGTGCTTTGATTTGCATGGAGGGGTACTAACTCAAGCTGAATCTTGAAAGCAGCCTGGCTACTTTTGATACAAATTAGTATCAAAAGTATTACTTTTGATACAAATAAAGCTCTCAGAACTAGAGAGTTCTAGAAGTTGTCAGAACCTTACATAGCATATTTGCCAGAGCAGAGAGCCTCAAGAGCTGTTGTGCACACCTCCTCACATGCTCTTCCATGCAGGCATACCTCCTGTCACCTAGGGTATAAAAAAGTCAGTACCTTTTCCCCTGAATCTCTTTCCTCAGCCAATCTTCTTTGTTTAGGAAATAAGAATGTTGTGACACGAGAACACTTGGACCGCATGAAAAACAGCTGTATCGTGTGCAATATGGGCCACTCCAACACAGAAATCGATGTGGTGAGGCTTTGTGTCCCTCATTTGTTGTGAGGCCGTGAGGCTTTCTTCTCTTCAGTCACAGCCACAACCTGCTCTTCTCTCTTCTTTCAGACCAGCCTCCGCACACCAGAGCTGACGTGGGAGCGAGTCCGGTCTCAGGTGGACCATGTCATCTGGCCAGATGGCAAACGCGTCGTCCTCCTGGCAGAGGTACACACGGAAGGACACTGGCAATGCACTACAGCATTGGGAATGGGGCGAAGGCAGGGGATAAATACTTGGGCCAAAAACTGTTTTTTGATATAGGCATAAGTTTAAAATGACTGGTTCCCAACATAGAATGATGTTAAAAATTTGACTTTTCACTAATACTGTTTCCTTACCACATCTGAATTTTTGGCCTTTCAAACTCAAGTGGCCTTAGAGAAAATACACTAAATTCTAATCTGGAATGTAGTTTTTTCCTCTTCTGACATTGTGACGTTGGAGGTAGAAGGATAACACAGCTAATCTGACAGCACTTTGACTTTCTCTTTTTCAGGGGCGTCTTCTCAATCTGAGTTGCTCCACAGTCCCTACCTTTGTTCTGTCCATCACAGCAACAACACAGGTGTGTGGCATGATGCCTGCTTAGGCTGCACTGAGAGGAGGGGGACTGGGCAGGTCAGGGTTCCCAGAGAGGGGCGAGGGCTGGCAGGACCTCACATGTAAGCACTGTGCTATATTAGCAGCTTATTCTTTTTTACCCCTCAGGTCCTTAGATTTCCGCTTTTTCAGATATAGATAGGAGTCTTAGTTAAGAAATAGATAAGCAGAATCAGTGTTTGCTTCCCTTTGAGGTGGCTGATTTTATTAAGAGTCTGGTTTTTCCAGCCTATTACTTTATGAATAGGATGTGTGTGGGTGTTCACTGCAGGCCTTGTCCTGCGTGTGGTTACTGTGGAGGATTCCTGTGTACTCAGCACTGAGACCCTCCCCTGGTAGCCCTGCTTTACCCTTGTGCCTTGATCTTAGAAGGGTTTGCCTTTCTGACCCATCTTCCTTCCCACTATAGGCATTGGCACTGATAGAGCTCTACAACGCCCCTGAGGGACGATACAAACAAGATGTGTACTTGCTTCCTAAGAAAATGGGTGAGTGAAAAGCAGTGAACCCCTGGACTGATGTTCAGATGGCCACCTGGCTTCCTAAAGCGAGCACCGGCTTTGGCATCAGAGTACCCAGCTCTATGAGTCTTGGGGTTTTTCACCAATAATGTGAGAATACTCAATACATGAATCGTAGAATTGTAGTCAGAATTACAGACAATGAATAAAAAATGCTTAGCTTTTAATTTAGCTTTTTTACTATGGATTAGCTTTTACACTAAATGACTTTGGAAGTTCAGTGAACAGTCTCAATTTTTTCCAAAAAGGGAGAAATCATTACAGATTTTACTGTCCATCCTGCGTGTATATTTGTAATGCAAACTACCTCTTACTCAACCTCCTGTAATTCCAGACACAAGCTCTGCTTTCTTCATGTTATATGATGCACATCTGTAGTTTTTTCGTTTCAGAGCAGTGATGCCCACTTCCTCATAACTCATTGATCAGCCCAGCCCCATCACCTCTTACCTCTGAAATTTCTTAGAGCCGTTCATAAAATGAAATTTTCAAACTTTGAGCTCAACAACAGTTTGAAACAAAAAGTGAGAGAATGACAAATTAAAGGACATGAGGTCGTTAAGAGTTAAAAAAAATTAAAACCCCACCCCTACCAAAAACAGTTGGAAACAAAAAATGAGAGAATGACAAACAAATTAAAGGACATGAGGTCGTTTGAGCTTCTTGTCTGTTTGATTCTGAATTTAGCTATTATTTAATCCAGTGAAGGGGTTTCCTGTGGAGTGACGAAGGGATACATGGTATGTTGGCCACTGATAGGATGCCAAAAGCCAGTGCAGGAGGGAGCTGGGCGCCCAGCCTGTCCCTGTGCCCTGGGGGCTCTGCTAGTGCAGTGCACTCTGGGATACTCAGGAGCTTCCTGCCGCAAAGACAGCTTTGAACGGTCTTTAAAATTTACTCTTTCAGAGTTTCTCAATCCACTGTCCACACTTTCCAAAAACTGTAATGTATATTTAAAACGAGTTCCTCTCCCCTGCCACTGTGTTTCCTAGATGAGTACGTTGCCAGTTTGCACCTGCCATCCTTTGATGCCCACCTGACAGAGCTGACAGATGACCAAGCAAAATATCTGGGACTCAACAAAAATGGGCCGTTCAAACCCAATTATTACAGGTAATTTCTGTCCTGTCCTTCCCCAAGGGTTTTCTGAAAGACTCTTTTCTCCAGTATTAAGACGGGCTAGCCAGAATAGGCAGACAGACTGTATGTATGCATGTACAATGGTAGTCATAAAGAACTACAAGTTTTCTGAAATTTTGAAGCTTGGTCTTCACCCATTGATTCAAATACAGTTAGAGTAGGATGGGACCCTGGCAGAGTTATTTTGTGATTACTATCTAGGCTACTCCAGTGTAAGTTAGGGTTATCAGGAAGCAGTAGATCAGAACCTGAGGAAGAACGTTGAGCCTACCTGAAGACCAAGAATGACCGCAGGGGACCCAGATTGGCCCTGGAAGCACTGTGGAGAATGTGCTATGCCTAATTCTTACTCAGAACTCAAATAGATGCAGTTCTAACCAGTCTCTCCTTTTCTTTACAGATACTAATGGGCCATATTATCAAGGACCAGTCTACAGGAACCACACGAGTCTAAAAGAAATATTTTTTAAGAGAATTTTTATTTCCTTCTTATTCCCGTCTTCCTTATTTTATTTTTTTCCTGTAAGTTCATCCTTGTTTTTATCATCTCATTGTCCAAGTTCTGCAGACCACACAGGAACTTGCTTCATGGCTCTCTAGATGAAACTGAGGTTCAAAATTCCTCACCCTAGACTCTAAAGGATTTTACTCCCCCAGCCCAGAAAGGTGATTCTCTTTTTACCATTTCTGGGAATTTTAGTCTTAATTGGTACCTTATGAACAGGAAATGCTGAGGTACTTGCTGTATGGAACAATCTGCAATGTCTAAATTGCCTTAAAAGAGCCCATTTCTTAGCTGCTGAAATCAGTGCTCTTTCGCTTCTCCAGAGGAGCAGGGGTGGTGTCTCACCAGCCAGGCAGGTTAGATGTAGGTGGTGCATGTTCATTTCCCTTTGACGTTCCAAGCCCTGTTCCTGTGTAAAGGTGGTTTGTCTGGTGCAGAGATGTGTACTAGTGAATGTTGTTTGTTAAGATCAGTAGGTCCACTCAGATTTAGTATGTAGCCCTTCCTCCACTCCCACCCAGCCCTCTCATTTTTTAAGTTTTTAACCAGACTGCACTTTATTAAGTTGACTTTTCCTCCCTAGCATTTGTGTTAACACTGAGGAACTGTTTTCGGTGGTTGGTTAATTTCAGACCCTTGGAGCTAAGAGTGCAGAGTTGAGTTTAGTGCAGTGCTGGTCTCAGATTCTCATAAAATCCCTCTGTTTCTAGTTCATAGTTAATAGCATCCATGAACTGGGGCCGTAACAGCAAATTCTATCCGCTCTGCCCCACCTAGCTTGTGCTGAAGGTGAATTTCTTAAGCCACTACTCAGTATAAAGCTCTATATTTAGGATTATCTACTAAGAGCAAATTTCTGGTCGCTTTGCTTCTGCAACCTAAAATATTTAGAGAGGTAGATGTAGATGGGAAGAGGAAGCATTAATGGAGCCAGGGTAAGACAGGTCTAGCTAGCTCTGTATCATTTGGGCGTTAGACCCTTTATAACCTTAGTTTCACAGAAATGGTGCCATTTTTGATTGACACAAACTGCAAAAACATGAACCAAGATCTTGAAGGGCAGTTTGTGTATAGAAAAAGTAACGAGGCAGTGCTGGCTCACACTCTAGAAGAAGAACCCCAGGGAGGCTCTGCGAGCTCAGAGGTGCGATCCCATGCCAGGCGCCCTGCTTCCCAGCATCTCTGCATGGTCAGATGAGCCTGTCTGCTCATGAGCTTTAACTATATAATTACCCAGGACTCTGAATCCTCAACTTGTTCTAGCTTGTGATCCTTCAAAGTTGGGCCAGGCATTAGTGCTAGGTACTACAAAATTGTATTTTGCCGTTGCCACAGATGAGAGAGCTAGGTATTAAAAACAATAAAGGAAAGCTTCGACCTGCATCTTCCTATCGGGGACAATTGTCTTGCCAAAACTTTTTTTCCCTTTTCCCCGTGAACCCTACCCAGCCCCTTCCCACTCCTTGCCAGTGTGACTGTGCTTTCTTCTCTGTAGATGCTAACAGTTTGAGCCCTTGTCCCCAGGGCACTTAACTAGCCAATCAGACACCACATCCATTAGGGACAGTATCCTGGTCAACAGGATCTATCGCATCAGCTCTGCTGGAGGGAAGGACCCAGGTCCTGCTGCCCTCCAGCCTGCCCCAGGTCCCCTGTCTAATACTGTGTCCATAGGAATACTCGATAAGGGCTCCATCTCTGTCAAGCCATGCAACAAAGGACACTGGGGAAATGTCTGGCGTCAGAGGGAGCATATGGAGAGCAATTTGGGAGGAACAAGTTTATTTTGTATTGAATGATTTTTAATGAATGCAATATTAATCCTTGCAGATAAGCAATAATCATTAAAGTCCATTAAAAAGATAACGATTTTATTGGCAGTTTGTGTCATTCTTCATTGTTCAGCAAAACTTCATAAAGACCTGTTTCTCGGGTGGGATGAGCCGTGGGTCAGTGCTTAATAGAGGAGCGGCCTGGAGCCACAGCTCTGGTCTCACGTCTGATGCCGCTGTTGAGCGCTCCATGTCGGCACTTGCACTCCAAACTTCATTCAAGAAGCAGATTTGCTGTTTATACGTCAGGGCTTCTTACTTGCATGGTGCTCTTCCCTTACCTACAATCTAGAAGGCACAAAGCACATTTTGGAATCCACAGGATGTGAGGCCTAATATAAGACTGGTCCATGAGGAAGCTGGGGTCGTGGCTTGAGGCATGGTCTCAAACCCCACATGGAAGAGGAGGGTATCCATGGCGCAAGGAGTGGCGTTAGTTGGAACCAGGCTTAACCAAATAAAAACTTTAAGAATACAGAAGCCATGCACACGCATGCTTACTGCTGCTTTGTTCACAATAGTAAGGAGTTGGAAACAACCCAAGTGCCCATCAACAAATAAATGGATAGAGAAGTTGTGGAATGCAATGCTGTATTGAAAAACAAGGAACTCATGAAATATACAAAATGGGTGACCCTGGAGGACATTATGCTGAGTGAAATATCGTTCACAAAAGGACAAATGCTGCATAGTGCCACTGTTACAAAACAGGACTGACATGAGGCTTGGGGGAAACCTAAGAAAAGGGGATAAATGATACTGCATTGAGGCAGATGAGGGAGACAACGGTTTAATAGGATTATGTTGTTCTTTGTTATGTGCCATCAAGTCATTTGCAACTCATAGCAACCCTAAGTACAAGAGCCCTAAACGCCGTTCTGTCCTGTGCCAACCTCACTGTTTCACATTCATTCCCACCACTCCACTCACTGAATCGATCCATCTCACCAAAGGTCTTCCTCTCCTGCACTGTCCCTCCACTCTCCCAAACATGATGTCCCTCTCCAAGGACCAGTCCCTCCTTGCAACATGCCCAAAGTATGTCAGACGAAGCTTCAGAATCCTTGACTCCAAGGAGCATTCCGGCTTCTCCTCCTGTTTGTTCTCCTAGCAGTCCATGGTATATTCAATCCTCCTCCAGCACCACAATTCAAATGCATCAATTCTCTTTCTATCAACCCTATTCACTGTCCAACTCTCCGATGCATAGCACATAATCACGAAGACTATAGCCTGGATCAGGCGCACCTTAGTCTCCAGCCTAACGTCGTTGCACTTCAGTACTCTTAAGAGGCCCCTCACAGCCAACTTGCCCAATGCAATTCGTCCCCTGATTTTCCTGGCTGCTGTTTGACTGTGGAGTCAAGCAAACTAAAACTGTTAACTATCTCAATCTCTTCATCCATGCTGATGCTGCCAATTGGCCCAGTGGTGAGAATCTGTTTCCTTGATAATGAGTTTCAATCCATATTGAAGACTACAGTCCTTGACCTTCTGTAGCAAGTGCTTCAGGTCCTCAGTTTCGGCGAGCATGGTTGTGTCATCTGCATAACGCAGGTTGTTGACAATTCTTCCACCAATCCTGATGCCACATTCCTGCTCGTACAGCCCAGTGTCTTGGATGATCTGTTCTGCATACAGGTTGAAAACATATGGAGACAAAATACATCCCTGATGGACCCCTTTCTTGATTTTTGAACCATCCAGTGTCTCCCTGCTCTGTTCTGAACAACTGCCTGTTGGTCCAAGTATAGGTTTCACATTAGCACGATCAAATGTTCTGGGAATACCATTCTTAGAGTTCAGCCACAGCTTGTGATCCACACGGTAAAAAGCCTTTGCATAGTCAATAAAGCACAGATGACATTCTTCTGGTATTCTTTGCTTTCTGCCAAGATCCATCTTACATTATCCCTAGTACCGTGACCTCTTCTAAATCCAGCCTGCACATCTGGCAGTTCTCTGTTGATATTGTTCCAAACTGTTTTGGATAATTTTCAGCAGAATCTTGCTTGCATGTGATATCAATGATATTGTTCGATTTCCACACTCTGTTGGGCCATCTTTCTTTGGAATGGGAACAGATATCAATCTCTTCCAGTCAGTTGGCCAGCTGGCTGTCCTCCAGATTTCCTGGCACAACCTAATGAGCACATCCAGGGCAGTGTGTGTTTGTTGAAATAAATCAGCTGGTATGCTGTCAACTCCTGGAGCCTTGTTTTTTGCCAATTCCTTCATAGCAACTTGAACTTCCTCCTTCATCACCATAGGTTCTTGCTCATATGTTTCACGAAATTCCTCTTTGTCAGCCAATTCCTTCTGATACAGTGACTCCGTGTACTCCTTCCATCTTCTTTTTATGCATCCTGGATCATTCAACATTCTACCCGTCCTATCCTTAAGTATTGCCACCCGTGGCTTGAATTTGTTTCTCCTTCAGTTTAAGAAACGCTGAGCGAGTCCGGCCCTTTTGATTTTCTGACTCCAGCTCTCTGCACATTACATTCTAGTATTTTGCTTTGTCGTCCCGAGCTGCTTTTTTAAATTTTCGTTCAGCTCTTTGATTTCTTGATTTCTCCTTTTAGCTTTCGCTTCTCGGCGCTGTAATGCAATACTCACAGTCTAATCTGACATCCATCTTGTTCTTTTCTTCTTCAGCCTTTGTAATGATCTTTTGCATTCTTCATGGACGATTTTCTTGACATCCTCCCAGAGCTCATTTGGTCTACGCTCATTGGTGCTCAAGGCCTCAAACCTGTTCTTGAGATGGTTTTGAAATTCAAGTGGAACATTGTTAAGAAAGAAATGGAACACATAAATATTGACATACTGGATATTGGCAAAACGAGATGGCTTGGCATGGGACATTTTGAATCAGATGATTATATTATTTACTATGCTGGGACATTTTGAATCAGATGATTATATGATTTACTATGCTTGGGATGAAAAGGTAAGGAAAAAATGGGATTGGTTTCATAATTAA